AGGGGTGAGGCACAGCCCAGAGGAAGGGCAGGAGGAAGGGAGGGGACTGCTGGGCAGAGATGGGGGTCTCGGTGAGGAGCGCAGAGACCAAGCTGCGGGTGGGTGGGTGCCACCCCAGGGTGCCCTGCCTCTCAGAAACCTTGTGACTGGTAGTGAGGAGGAACCACCGAGCAGAGCCAGTGAATCCTCTATGTCCAGGAACATCCTGCTGAAACAGCCCTTCTGTCCCACCATGGGCAGCAAAGCCCTGCAAGCCACAGATAGACCCAAGCTCCAGTTGCTCTTCGTCCACTCGACCTGCCAGGCACCTGACCCCCTGCATCCCAGTGTCCTGACCCACAGCGTGAACAGGGACACCAGCTTCCCGAGAGTGAAAGAATTCAAAGTGCACACACATCCCTATCATGGGCACAGCACGGAGGAAGGGCCTGTGCTCATAAATGTTTACATGTCTTCCCGAGGAGGGCTCTGGAAGGCTTCCCTACTCTGGGAATGATCTATACTGGCCCCCTGAGATCTTTTGATATCCACCAAATCAAGAAACCGATCCCCAGCCCAACCTACTTACTGTCCTAATAGGCAGCTGGACATCAGGTGAAGGAATGGGGTAGCCAGAAAGGAGAAGCAGACAGACAGCTTGGAGGAGGGGCAAGGCTGGGGACAGGGTCAAAACGCCCAGCCAACCAAGAGCCCAGCCAACCAAGAGCCCAGCCAGCCAAGAGCCCAGCCAACCAAGGCTGGGGATGGGGTCCCAAGAGCCCAGCCAACTTTGAGACAGGGCCTGACCTGCCCCAAAGGCATTTTCTCCTCTGAATTCTCCAGCCCAGGCCGCCTGGGGAATGTAAAGAATCCTCTCTCCACTCCCTGCCTCCTCATCCCGTCTGAAGCCTTCTAAGTGCTGAGTTTTTTCCTCTCAAAACAGCAGTAGCATGAGATAGGAATGCACCATTAGGTCCCCACTGGCCCCCTCTCCACCTGCACGCCTGTCAAGCTGATCGATGAGTGGAAAAGATGACAATCACGACCACCCCCACCACTTCTGGGACCGGCAGGCCTCCCTTCCACGATGGAAGAAGTCTGGGCAACAGAGGCACCACAGCCAGCATCAGCCTCAGAGGAGGCAACTGAGGCATGGGGGACAGGCTGGAAAATGAGGCAGGCGCACAGCTGCTACAGTGAGGCCACAGTGAGCTCTCCTGATCAAAGCTGTGTTGCATGGGGGCAGCGACCACCAGTCCCAAGCACAACTGCAGCTCATTCTGTGGAGGTGGAACGGTCATGGGCTGGCCAAGAGAAAGGAACCCATACGGAGGTGCAAAAGTTGGGTGAGAAACCAAAAATCCCTGTGATTCTTAATTCTGCCCATGGCCGTGACCTTGGGTCAGGCTTACCCTTGTGTAGGTAGGTTTGTCAGAGGATGGAGAAGTCAGAGCTGGGCACTCTGCTGGCATCCGTTAAATGCCTATTGAACTGAATAGCTGAAGGAGGGCATGAGGTTACATCTACCCAACATGTGTACAAATATGGGTTAAATGAATGGGGAAAATGACTGGAGTGACTTGGTGGCTATAGCTTTTGTCCTAAGTGAGATTTGCCACCAAACATAGCTGTCCACTCACTGAGCTGTTTTTCGAGCACAGAAGTGGCATATGCTCAACTCTGGGCCTGCGGCATAATGTCTGACATAAACAGGGTACACAATAAATGTCTACTGGAAAAAAAAATCAATGAATGATTTCAGAGACAGAAAATAGATGGTGGCTGCCGCAGGCTAGTGGGAGTCGGGGGAAGTCATTCTCTAGTGGGAACAGAGTTTCAGTTTTGTGAGATGAGTTCTGGAGGTGTGGATTAATCATTCCACGATGTGTACACATATCAAAACATCTTGTTATACATCATAAATATATATAATTTTTCATTTGTCAATTAAAAATAGTAATTTTAGAAAAGAGTTCTCAAGATGGATGATGATGTTTGCACAGAAATGTGAACGTACTTAATGCCACCAGACTATACACTTAAACATGATTAAGATGGGAAATTTTATGTTGTGTGTATTTTGCCACAATTAAAAATAAAACTTAAAAAAAATCGATGAGTGATTAATTAAAAATGGAAAGAAGTAACCAAGGTTAAGCATGGAATGAATGACATAGCTACTAGGGCATGGAATCTTAGATTTAAAATGGGTGCAAACTCACCGCAGCTCTTCTATCAAGAGGTGCAATCTCTTCCCTCACACATTGAATCTGGCCTGGCTTGTGCCTTGATTTAACCAGCAGAACAGAGCAGAAGTGATACTATGCAATTGCCCAGCCTAAGCTTCAAAAAGAGTCCTCGTACACTTCTGTTCCTGCACACGAATCTCTCCACCTCTGTGTGAAGAAGTCCAGGCTGGCTGCTGGAGACATGTGGCCCAGCTAACACCCAGCACCAACCAGACACATGAGCAAGGTTCTCAGAGCATCGAGTTCCCATCAGGAGATCAGATGACACATGAGTGATCCCAGGCAAGGCCGACAGAAGAACAGTCCAGCTAAGCCCTGCTCCAACCACTGACCCACACAATCATCAACACATAAAATGCTGCTTCAAGCCGTTAAGTTTGTTATGCATCTATAGAGAACTGATAGAGTTAGGAAGGCATCAATTGAGAGGTAACAAGAAATGGGTCCAAGTCTCCCTCCATTCCTGCAACTGGAGATTGAGGGGTCCTACCTTCACTAAAGCCACTTCCTGTTTGTGGCTCTCCAATGAGGATCTTATAAGCCTTGAAGTCTTAAGAAGAGTTTGGCAAATCTCTTCAAGCAGGGTGGCAGGGCACTCCAGGGTTAAGACTAAAGAGGAATGAGTGATGGGCTTCTAAAACTCGGCACTGCCTAGTGAAGAAGGAGGAAGGGACAGCTCCCTTGCTCTCCGAGATACCCTCTATTTTGCCCCTAGACGTTTCTAATAGCAAACTATAGTAAGTCTGACCTCAAGAGATCAAACAGGAAGGTGAGGACACAGAGTGAGCCCAACAGTTTGTGAAACAAACTGGAACTCTCATCTAACAGGAACATGAAATGAAACTGCAAACTCTGAGCAATGAAGACTACACTTTACTAAAAGCATGCCAGTTATGATGGGTGACACATGTTAACCGGATTTTAGCAAGCTTCCTCAATTTACACTGGTTCCTAAGGGACCAGATATGCTGGCATCTGTGGACAATGAGTCTCTCAGCACAAGTGTGATCCAAGTGGACTGTACTTGCTCTTTCTGTTCTCGAGAACTTCTCCGGGCACCTGTTTCCCACTCTGGCCCCAGCAGCTGTGTCTGTATCAGTGGCCACTTCAGGAGCTGCACTACCTTGTCCCAGAATGTCTTTTATGCCAAGTTAATAAAAGATGAAATGTCCTGTCCCACAAATAGCTGATTCGGGAACATTTAACAAGGTAAATTCTTAAAAGAATAGATATTCTTATGGGGAACATGATGAGCTTAGGTCTTAGGACACTTTAACTATTTTTTACTTTCCTCTGCCTTTATCACTGTGATATCATCAACTACAGACCCAGTCCAGGAAAATCTGCACTGCTTTCTGGGCCACCACACCCAAGGTTGCTCATTTCCAACACACAGAGAATCTATCTGGCTATTACCACTAGATATCATCTATAGGATTAGTGTTTCTCACAATTACCCATTTTGGGAGCCCATAGAAAAGGAATATTGAGGGCCCCGGCTGAGAATCCATGTAATGATGCACTTTTTACCCACCTATGACTTCCTTTGCAATGTCAGTAGACACAGGATCCAGTGTTGGATTTAGGAGCTATTCCAATTGCAGGTGGCTCCTTAACATCTTGTGCTCTCTCCCAAGACAATGTTGGTCACCCCTGCAACCAGTACCCAGATCCCTAGGGAGACTAAATTAATGCCATGTCTTTCCCAAAATCACCTCTTAACTCTAACAATCATCTCAACTGTCCCATGCTCCCATGCCCTGAGGCCAGCTCGCTTCACTCAGGGCAATTGGCAATAGGTTACTAAATACTGTCTGTGTACCAAGAACAGTGCCAGCGGTCCTTGTCCATCTGAACCCTTGGGCAACATCCATTTTAAGACACAGTCGCTTACATAAGGGCCTCTCAGGGTCCTTCACTCGGGCCCACCCTGCTCATAGGCCTCCTGCTGGGATAAGGGCTCTGATCAGCAACAATGTGGACAAGTGAAAAACCACAAAAAACCTTGAAGTTTCAGTATTTAAAAACCCTGATCTGCCCAGGAGTCCAAGCCCTATTCCAGGCTCACCACTGTCTCTGTCTGTAACACACTCTCATGATGTAAAGAACCCTCCAACACACACCACCAAATTGTTCTAGAATTCAGAAAATCTTGGTCGTTTATTTCTGTTCCTTGGGTTAAAGACACCTGCCTTTTAGTCATTTTGCTTATGAATGTACTTCTACTGGGGCAACTTAGGAGAGGGGAAAATGAATTAACATCAGTGAAGCTTGATGCTCTTAAGCAGCTCTGGCAATGATGATGATAATGATGAAGAAGAATGGCTGGGAGACAGAATAGTGATCCAAGTTGGGATGAATTAGCTAAATGCATGTCTACGTCTGTCAACCGGCTCGTCGCCTCTCATTTGCTCAAAACTTTGTCTTATGGGCATCTCTCACCAAGGTGCTAAGTGCTGGGGACTAGAGGCATGAGCAGAGAAAGGGCCCCCAAGAGGGCTGGCCCCCTTAATCAATGGGCATCATGGGGCCTCACTGGACCCTGGCTAAAGCACTACTACTTTGAACTCTATCACCAAACCACACACAATAGTTTCCTAGTTCCTCACCATGCTCCTCCCATCCCCTCCTTTTCTACCAACAATGGGCACATCCCCTGCAGCCTGGCAGTCAGGGGGCTGTCTTCTGAGTCCATCAAATGTTGAAAGAAAAATATACAATTATTCAATTATTTTTAAAGGAACAAATAGATCTAAATTTAATCCAACTTACCCTTGTTTCCCAGGAGAAAGGGGCAGAGTGCTCATCTTGCCAAGTTAGATCCTGAAATAAAAATTCAAGAATAAATCTGAAATCCAAACCTAGACATATCCCATGCAAACATCCACCCAGGACCATGAGGGAACCAAAACTTAGGAATAATCCCAACTGCTGGCTCTAAACGAGCCTGATGCTTTGACACTCTCAATATAACGTGCTGACCATCTTGGCCAGATTGCTCCCTCACCTTTCCCGCTGAGGCTGCCAGACACTCCCCTCCCCAGCCAAACAGACAACAGGGTATATGCCAGTGAGTCCCCCCAATGGACTCAGACAGATGAGCTGAGTAGGAGTGGACCAGAGCTTGATGGTCTCAGCAGAATCAGGCACAGACTCAGCCCTGAACAATGATTAGCTGTGTGGCCATGGGAAGATGATTTAGCCTTTTTGAGCCTCAGTTTTCTCATTTGTAAAAGTAGAATGATACTTCCCTTGCAGGGCTGTTATAAGGATTAAATGAGGTAATCTGGGAAAATAATGCCAGGCCATAATCTGCCAGTCAATGCCAACACAGGAGCTCCCCTCCTCCCCAACAGGCCTACCGGAGAGCTCAAGGGCATGGATCAGCAGAATCAATGAAGAAAAACGCCAATGTAATCCATGTGACTAATTATAACAAGAACTCTGAAATCACGCCCCACCCCCACCAAACAGAGCAGGACAGAAAGAGCCCTACAGAACAATCACTAGGAATTTGACCTTGGATCCAGTATGTTTTGTTCACTGGCCTGCACAAATAACTTGGAGAAGTCACCTTTCCTTAGGTCCCACCCTCTGCCTGCAGTTATTCCTGTGCTAGCAAATGTCTCATCTGTGTCCAGCTTCAATTGGGTAACTTTTGTTTGTTTGTTTGTTTGTTCTAAAAGATGGGGTCTCAGTATGTTGGCCAGGCTGGACGCAAACTCCTGGGCTCAAACGATGCTCCTGCCTTGGTGTCCAGAGCAGCTGGGACTACAGGTGTGCACCAGGTCTGACTGCTTCTACTGGGAACTATTTTCAGAATGAAAAATCAGGACACACTGGGTGATACAGGCGAAAATGGGATAAAATATTTTAAACTGAGATCATATCCATATCTCCCCAAAACTCCAGGTGATTTATGTCCTTCCCTAAGTATCCCTGGATAACTGTTTTCTTCCCACCCAGAGATACACTGACACGGTGCCCCTAAGTCAAGTGGTCTGGCTTCCCTCTCATCTACAGGGCAAACCAGTTCTGCCCACAGACCCTCTTCTTTCAGCTTCTGACAGAGCCTCTGCCACCCCAGCTTAGCCTCAGACACTGGGGGCAAATGCCAGGGCCCACGCAGGGGGAGTGCCTCACCAACATTTAAGTGTACACGTTCAGCCTTCCAGACCCTGAGCGTGCGTTCTCTCTGCAGACACCTCCTAACATGAACGGCCAGTGGGAGGCCAGTCTTTGAACTCGAATAACGAAGGCATGCCAGGGTCTGGGCAGCTGAAGGCCTATTCCCAAGAAGGAGGGATGGGGAAGGAAGTGTGTGATGACTCTCCTGCACAGCCCAAGCATGGCCAACCCTAGATGACAAGGGTGACAGAGCAGGGCCTTTGTCCACTCCTCTATCCCCAGTGCCTGGAAGACTCAGTGACTGCCCGTAGCGGACACTCACTCACTCTTTGAGAATATGTGAATAAACAAACTCTGCACAAGCCCAGATCCTTTCACAGGTTGATTTTCCCCCACAATCTCCCCCTCCCAACACTCACACTCCCCCAAGACTTCTCAATGTGGGGGCACAGGCTCCTTACAGCTCTTGGCCCCAGGAGGAAGAGCTGGCCATCGACAGGGTAGAGATCCGGTTCTGTGTCCTGATGGCTGTGCTGTGTGCCTTGGTTCTGTACAGTAGGGACTGGCACATTTGTGGCACAAATACTTCACATATACTGGGGGTAAAGAGCAAGGAAAACCCAGAGAGGAGGCAGTGTGAAAGGCCAGAATTAGGTCTTTATTTTCCCAGGAGTGCATATAAAAGGACTAAACATATTTATATCAGGAAAAAAACACCACTAACAAAGATACTAGTTATAAATATTAAGAATTACAAAAGTGGGGGGAAAGCCCTACAAACTGGGTCAAGCTGCATTAAAGTGTATCAGTCAGTTCTGAGAACCACGTAGTGTGTGCAACTGATGACCGTGTGCACAGTAAGGTGACCCCCATCCTCAAAGTGTTACAGTCATTCTCCTGTAATGGTATTTGCTTATGATCCTGACTTCTGAACTGGTTGGTATGCACTGCCTCATGGCTGTCAAGCAAAACCTTTAAAAATGAGAGGAACCTCATTTTGTTTGGAATTTCAGTTACACTCAAGTTACTTCCCAATGCACAAACTTCGTTCCTCCAAAAATGGAAATGGATGCCTGAAGGAATGTGAGTTACCAAGGCTTTGCGATTAGATGTCTCCTAGCAGAGGTAGAAGGGCAGCCTTCAGCTGTAGGGGGCTCCTGGTCCATGTCTCTGTGTGTATGCTAGGGGTACAGTTAAGCTAAATAACCAAAGTCCCTAAAATCCTCAGAACTCTCTGAGTTCCTTTTAGAAGTAATCAAACCAAGAAGGGCTTTGTTTTCACATGGGAAAAATAAAAGGGGCCGATGGAATAAGTATCATTTATTCTAGTTAATCATTCATTAACTCTTCGTGAATAAATGATCTCTGCACAAGCCTGTATATTTTCACAGGTTGATTTTCCTCCCCAGCCTCCACACCCCACACTCACACTCCCTCTAAGACTTCACCGGCTCTTCACAGCTCTTAGTCCCAGGAGGAACGGCCAGCCATCCACAGGGTAGAGTAGAGACCCAGCTTTGGATCTTTGGAAGAAGGTAAATGGAAATCAACTGGCAAAGGTGCTCCTTCCATCCAGAATTGAACAGGCCGCTGGCCACCCAAATGGAAAGACGAAGTGTATGAACACCTGCGGGGCAGGCAGAGGGCAGGAGCGCTGGCCAGGGCGGGGCATGATGTAGCTGGACTCCCCTGTTACTTGATATGATTCTAAATATTAATTATATACCTTGAGTCCCTTTGAAACCTGCAAAGATTAAAATAATAAGGCTTTTGGCTTTGGAAGGTGGCTCAGTATATAAGACTCTTAGGAACAAAGACTTAGCCCAGAGCTTGGGGACAGCCAACTCTCTAGTGACGGCAACCCATATTAGCTGAAATTCCAAGGGGGTCGCAGGAGGAGAAAGGGTCACACTGTGATTTCTCCCCAACTTAGTGTCGAGTCAATAGTCTTTTGTTTGCTCCAGCAAGAAATGAAGTCAAGGGGCAGATTCCTTGGGTTTCGGTAATTCTGAGCTCATAAAAAACAATAAAGTGCTTAACAAAAATAAACATGCCAAACAAAAATGTGATGGAAGCTCTGATGTCAGCCTTCAACTGCACGCTCTAGCCACAAAAAGCACTGGTGGCAAGAACAGGCTCCCTAGGCTGTTGGATGCAAATGGGATCAGAATTGCAAAGTGGTGGCACCCACTCACACGTATACAATGCTATCCTTTCTTCTACTCCCATGGTGACCAGCAGGCAACCAAAATGAGGCCAGGCACATGCTCTTGGACCAATCACATATGCTTTTTCTAGGACTGCCTGGAAGGCTTTCCCACCCCCCTCTCTGGCGCCTAGGATCTGAAATCATCTAAGTGCCAAAACACATCTGTTACTTAGGCCACACGACAAGAGAGTGGGCTTCATTGTTGGCCAGGACTTATCCTCAGAGTCAAATTCCGTAAGAGGCATCCATACCAAAGGCAGCACTGAATCTCTCCAGAAACAATGTCTTCTTTGGAGTGCAGGGAAGAAAGATGCCTCGGATCACCAAATCCCAGAGGAGAAAGCCAAAAAGCAGAGGGGAAGCTATAGAAAGCCACCAGAAACACAGAGCACTTGGCAATTATCAGAGGCCAGCACTACATGTAAAAGGCTCTGCCAGTCCCCACGCAGCTCCAAGAACTCTGGAATAAACACACACACAAACAATCTTTTCCCCTAACATCCCAGAGACCTTGAGTATTTGCTCTTCTCTGGGAAATGTTCATCCAATTCAGTGTGTACCTCCTAAACTCTAAATGAAACAGAATTTAAAAAATAATAATAATAAAGCATTTTTTTTCCATAGTGCTGGAATACATGTTTGAATCGTATCGCCAGCATTTACTTCTTTATTTGTTGATAAAAAATGGATACTGGAGGGCTTAAGAACTCTGTGGTTCCTAGACACTTTTATTTTTGGAGGCCGCAAGGCTGCAAGCAGAGGTGTGTTGGAGCAGGCTTGCACCAACTAACGAGAGCTGATTGTAAAATTTTGAGGACTTTCTTGAACCTGTTGTTTAACTGCGTGATTAAAAAGGTGAATTATATAAACTTGAAATTAAATCCATTGTATTAAAAATAAAGGTGATATACTTCACACCACAAGGATGGCTACTATCAAAAAGCAGAAAATAGCAAATATTGGTGAGGATGTGGAGGCACTGGAACCCTTGTGCACTTTTGGTGGGAATGTAAATAAAGTAGCCATTATATAAAACACTTCGGCAGTTCCTCAAAAAATTACACATACAATTACCATTTGTTCCAGCAATTTCATTCCTAGGTATACACCCAAAAGAACTGGAAGCAGGGGCTCAGAGATCCTTATACCCCAATGTTTGTAACTGCGCCATTCACAATAACCAAAAGATGAAAGCAACCAGGTATCCGCTGACAGATGAATGCATAAACAAAATGTGGTTATCCCTACAATGGAATATTATCCAGTCTTAAAAAGGAAGGAAATTCTGATACAGGCTTCAACATGGATGAACCTTAAAGACATTATGCTTAGTGAACAGACACAAGGACAAAAAATCATATGATTCCACTTATATAAGGTACCTAGAGTAGGCAAAATCATAGAGACAGAAAGTAGAACAGAGGTTATCAGGGACTGAGGCCAGGAAATGGGGAGTTATTGTTTAATATATACAGAGTTTAATTCT